TGGTGCCCTGGCTGTTGGCGGCGAGCAGCGCGGGGCGGTCGGGGGCGGCGCGCCAGCAGACGGCGGACACGAACTCGGAGGGCTCCTCGTCGCGACGCTCGCGCTCCAGGAAGCCGCGCAGCGCCTCGAACTTGTAGACGAGCAGAGGCCGCGACAGGCCGCTGTAGTACACGTACAGCGAGTTGTTCTCGGAGCCGCAGGCGAGGTAGCGGCCGTCAGTCGCGAGGCCCACGAAGTTCTTCTCGTTAGCGTGGCCGGTGAAGGAGCGCACGCAGCGCGGCGACTCGACGCGCCACAGCTTCAGCTGCGAGTCGGTGGAGGCAGAGAGCAGCGTGCGCGCGTCTAGGAACTTGACGTAGGAGACGGCCTTGCGGTGGTCGCGGAAGACGGCGAGCGGCAGGCGGGGCGCGCGCAGGTCGTAGTAGTGCACGCAGTGGTCGGCGCTGCCGAAGGCGAGGTGGCAGGAGGAGGCGGGGTTGAAGCGCACGCAGCACACGTTGAACTTGGCCTCGAGCGTGGCGACGGAGCGCTCCGTGTTGAGCGCCCACAGCTTGACGCGCGCGTCGTCCGACCCGGAGGCCAGCAGGCGCACGTCGGTGCGGTTGAAGTGCACCGACCAGCAGCGCTTGTCGTGCTCCTGCAGCGCGCGCGTGCGCGTGCCCGCCGCCGCGTCCCACACGCTCACCGTGCCCTCGTAGTCCGCAGACGCCAGCACGTGCTTGTGGTACGCGTTCCACGACACGCACGACACCTTGTGCGCGCACTGCATCTCCGCGCACGGGTAGTGCACGTCCACCGCGTCGCGCACCACCGACTCGAACTCGAACACCTGCCCCCCCACACACACAAACACACAGACTGAATGCGCACGTTATCTCACATACATACACGTACACGCACAGCCACACTGCACACCACGCACCTTGATGCGCTTGGTGACGCCGGCGATGGCGAAGAACTCGTTGTCCTTGTCGAACTCGATGGTGGACACGATGGTGGAGTAGTTGATGGCGTCGCTGCAGTAGGCGAGCGTGGCGAGGGGCCGCAGCGCCCGGTACCGCGTGAACGCCGCCAGGTCCGCGCGGAACGCCTCCAGCCCGCCGCAGGGCTCCACCGCGCCCGCGCCCGCGCCCCCCACACCCGACCCTGCCCCGCTCGCCGCTGTCACAGCCTCCCCGCCCTCCGGCGCGCGCTGGTCGCCCCCGCCCCCGCCGCCTCCCCCGCCCACACCTGCCAAATACCACCCGCTCCCTCAGACAACCGGTCTCCACTCGCCGTCTACAACATTCATAAGTATAATATATACAGTGCACTGACCTGCGGCGCTGGCTGCGCGCGACTCGAACGACATTTGCTGCGGCACCGCGTCGCCCTCGTTGGCGGCGGAGGAGGGCGCGGAGGTGGGCGCGGGCGTAGGCGCGGGGCCGGAGGGCGCGGCGGGCGGTGCGGGAGGGACGAGGCCCAGCCCCGGCGTGGGCGTGGCCGAGCTCGAGCCTGGGAAGTACAGCTCGTCGGCGCGGTGCGCCAAGTAACACTGAAATTTACCCATGATTCGCATCTATTGCCCACAAAATCAAACATCCTCGCACGGTTGCATCGTTGTGTAGGCGGCATCTAGTGTTAACCTGCACGAAGTCATCAAAGTGCGTGGTGAGGCGGCGCCAGCGCGCGGCCACCGCGTCGCCCCCGGCCGCACTGCCCGGACCACCCGCGAAGCTCTCCTCCTCCTCCTCCGCGCGCCGCTCCTCCGCACCTGAGGTACAATGTGACGAGATGTATCACACTTATGACACAGTAGCGACCTGGCCACGCCTGTGCGCAGTGTACATACAGTCCTGCTGCTCGGAGGCGTGGTCGAGCGCGTGCGGGGAGAGCGGCCGCTCGGACTCCGGCGCGCCGGCTTTCAGCTCGCGCAGCACGCGCCCCACCTGATCCAAGTCCTGCGTGCAATGGAACGCTGTCATATCACTTCTTTACATCGAGTACAAGTGATACCTTGGAAGCTCCGAAGTTACTGACCGATCTGACGAGCGTGGCCTCGCGCACCAGCTGGTCGAGCTGGTGGTGGCGCAGGCGCAGTAGCTGCGAGAGGAACTCATAGAGCAGGCGATGCTGCGCGGCGGCGGACTCCGCCTGCAGCAGCCGCTTGCGCCGCGTGAGCACATCCAGCATTCCGTCCACCTCGGCCAGGCCCAGATGACGCGCCTCCGCCGCCACGAGCGCGCGCAACCGCACGCCCTCCGCCGCCTCGCCCGTCGGTGGCGCCGGCCGCGCTCGCAGCTTGCGCCGCGCCACCAGCTCGTTGAGCAGGAAGTTGGGGAAGATGTGCTCGCGCGAGGCGAGGGCGGCGCCGCACTTGGGGCAACGGCGCTGCAACTCCACCGACTTGGCGATGCAGGCGTAGCAGAAAGAGTGGCCGCAGCGCGTCACGTACGCCTCGTTGATCAGCTCGAAGCAGACGGGGCACAGCAGCTCACAGTCCTTGTCCTCCAGCGAGCCGCCCAGGCCGCCCAGAGCTGCGCTGCCGCCTCCCGGGCCAGCGCCGGCGCCGCCCACGCTTGCTGCTGTGCCGGACATTACCGCTGCCCTAGCACAATGATCATATATTTTAGCAATGGTTTTATGTTGTAAGAGAGATAGAAATTGTTAAAATTTGCTATACTTTTTAATTAAAAACCTGTGTTGGAAAGTACTTCAGGTCAGTAATTCACTGTCACCTATAATGCGATTGACATTCACAAATGCTCTGAAATCTTTAGTAGCATGTAGTCACTAGAATACACTGAAATAGACTACTGCCCATAGACATCCACTATTGCAGATGGATAGACAACATTTATGTTTGACAGAGAAGAAGAAGAGATAGAGAATATTTCTCCTTGCTATGTGTCACCACCTCTACCAAATTCCCACACTCTTCCATCCAAATTTAAAACAACATGCCTAGAGTAATAGTGTTTCACCATTCAGAAAACAAATTAAAGAGAAATTACCGTGGATTAACACAATGTTCATTTATTTATACTAAAATCTAACAGTCCCTTTGACATGCTTTCAACCGTAAACAGAACATAAACGCATACAGTTGACCTGCTTTAGATTCCAGGGTAAATTTAGATGTTAATCAATATGAAACATAATATTGATTGCTTCATTCTCATATAAAACTTACCTTACTTGTAATTTTCTAACAGACAAAAGTACTTACGATTTAAGCAATGATTATATTGTGAAGATAGTTGAAGCCGCATACTAATAATTCTTGGTGGCCATAAGGCCGCGTTAAATCAAGATCTTTGCACATAAATACAACCATTAGCACAGCCTCCGCCCTCTGCTATCAGTTCACTATAATGTGTGTACAGTGAAATTCACATAAGATATTCGGGTGAATATATGAAGTTAACACAAAGTTTGTTGATTTATCACTAAAAACTTGATATTCTTGTTAAAAACTTGCAATAAGCAAAAGAAGCAATCAGCGAGCAACATGCCAATTTGTCAATTCTTTTAGATTTTGATGTTTTTTGGTATTGCCGTCAATCAAAATCAACATTGCCAAAAATTGCTACTGAAAAAAAAACTTGAAAACGCGACGTGAAGACTTTTGATATTAAAAATGTGCTTAATTACTTTGTTTTATCATTTTGTTGGCTCATATTATGTTAATATAGCCACTTTTGATATATAATTATATTTCTGATTTAAATGAATGCCATCACATGCTGCAATTTTTTGCCCTTTTGTTGCAATCTGTCACAGCCTTCTTTCAAGTTTAAATAGCTCCATCTATTATCAATAGAGTACAACAAACAAACATGGCTGACCCAACCCTCGAGTGCTGTTTTATCCATGTAGCAAACGCCATTTTGCTATTATTACAGTAGGTGCATTATCTTTCGTCAACAATGTAATATTCGGAATGAAATGTTTGTTAGATTTTTCGTGTATTTGTGATATGTAAGGTGATAATTGACCACATATATAAAAACTAGGATTATGGAGGAATCTAACGAGGAGGCCAATGTCGTTCCCGGTGAGTCTAGTGCTTCAAAAATAAGCTAGATATTGAGAGTGTCTCGAGTGTGAGGTCGAGTAACGTTAGCCTTCCCGGTTTCAGAACTCTACTTTCTGATAGCGAAATTTCTCTCCGGGGGCCCTCTGAAGGAGACTGCGAAGGTAAATATGATTCTAATACTATTGTTTATAATAAATCAAGTGTTAAAAATACTAACGGAGACTTTTTACTCCGCAGACTTTACTGAAAGAGCTCGAGCGCGTAGAGGTAAGTCTGAGCTTTTCCTAGTGCCGGGTTTGAAGCTTAGTGTTGTTTTGATCGCAAACGCACGTGGCTACGGCTGTCAAACTCGCTGAAAGTTTACTGAAAAGTTTTACACTTCCGCGCTGTTGCAGGTGCTGCCCAGACGGCTCGACTGGGAGGGCAACGAACACACGCAGTCTTACGATGAATTGGTCAGTGTATTATAATTTTGTTTACTAAAACAGCTGTTTATTATCATTTTGAACTCGCTTATAACAAGGGAAATAGTAAAAATGTTGTGAAATCGGAATATTTCTTATATCGTGTCCTATACGAAAATGAACGTGAAAATATGGTGGAAATACGAGAAAAATACTTATATGACCATTCATTGATAAAAATTAAGTTTTTCACTTAATTTAAGAAAAAAATGTTAATCATGCATCAGGATTCTAACAACTCGTAATGTGTGAAGCAACTATCCTTTACTTTCGTACGGTTTTCGCTGTGTTGCATCTCGCTCTAACCCGAGTCAGCGCTCGATCTCTATCGGTATTGGCTCTCCGTCGCTGTCGTCACGACTCAATGGCCGTCGAACCAATGGCGCCGAATTTAGAATCATTCTTTTAACCATTTAAGATTTTATCTTTGTTTTAAAATTAAAAAGAAAAAAGTAAGAACTAAAAATTAAACATCACTACGTATGTAATAACATTAAATAATTCTACCATGAACTGACTCGTATCTATTTTATTTACAAACTTAAACTAAAACATAACATCAACTTAGCATAAAACCAATTTTTCATCAGTTTATTATTTTGTTAATTATTTATTCAGAGAATTTAAACTGATTGTAGTTAGAATAGGTTTTTCTTGCATTTTACTCAGGCGGCACAACACAATGACATGTCGTGGCGGCGGCTGGCGGCGGTGTGCGAGCGCGCGCTGCAGCTGGCCAGCAGCGGCGCCCTGGCCACCAATGGCAACCCGAGCAGTACAGCAGTGGCCACCCCCGCCGCCGCTATCGGCGTGGCCGGTGTGGCCAGTGCGAGCAGCGTGGCCAGTGAGCCGCAGATGAGACTCCGAGCGCGCTTGTCTCTGCTCAGCGAGTCTCTGGTCAGACCGAAACCTAAGTACTCCATGCACAAGCCGGATCATTCTCTCGGTAACTTTATTTTATTATTAAACTATTATGGCTACTATCACACAGTGTACCTCTTTATCAAAGGCCAGAAATTCCATTTATATATTACTTTACATTACGTTACAATTCGATAATATTTTAAAATATAGTATTCAATTTTGTGTTGTTTTGTGAAACTCCTTGCCTGGTGTGAGTTGTGGGAATGTTGTGTGTCAGTGCGGCGGCTGGTGCGGCGCGAGCTGGGCGGCTGCGGGCGCGTGTTCCCCGCGCGGCTGCTCTCCGGCCTGCAGCTGCAGCGACGCACGCTGGGTCACCTCTCCGCCGTCTACTGCCTCGTCTTCGACTGCACCGGACGATACGTTGTCACTGTTAGTGTATTTACGCTATGTCGCACTCGCTGCGGAGGTGTGCATACGAAGGTTTATAATTGGACGTGTATGTGAGCAGGGTGCGGACGACCTGCTGGTGAAGGTGTGGTGCGCGCTGGACGGGCGGCTGCTGAGCACGCTGCGCGGTGCGGGCGCGGAGATCACGGACGTGTGCGTGTCGCCGGACGGCGCGCTGCTCGCCGCCGGCTCCGTGGAGCGCCTCGTGCGCGTCTGGTGCCTCGCCACCGGCGCCCCGCGCGCCGTGCTGCACGCGCACGCCGGCACCATCACCTCGGTGAGCACGCGCACCTCGCCGCCGCGTTCCGTCCTCTGCATCCGCTCTACATGTGTGTGTGCGCGCAGGTGCACTGGTCGGCGGCGGCGCACGGCGACGTGCGGTGGCTCGCCTCCACGTCGACGGACGGCTCGGTGGCGTTCTGGACATGCGCGGCGGACGGGCAGTTCCTGTCGCAGCCGGTGCAGTTCGTGGAGCGCATGAGGCCCGGCGCTTGCCACATGATCTGTGCCGCCTGGTCCGCGGGGGGCGCCTTCCTCGCCGCCGGCAGCGCCGACCACCACGTGCGCATCTACCACGTCGAGGCAGCGGGCCCGCGCAGGGTGAGTGATGATACCTGCAGCCGCTACCGTTGTACGGTGGGGACGAGGTGGTGAGCGTGCGCGTGCGCAGGTGCTGGAGCAGGCGGTGCACGGGGACGCGGTGGACTCGCTGGCCTGGGCGCACCGCGGGCTGCGCCTGGTGTCGGGGAGCAAGGACGGCAGCGCGGCGCTGTGGACGCTGCATGCGACGCAGTGGCGCCACCACCTGCTGCAGGACCACACCAAGCGTCTTAAGGTCACCATGGTGTGCTGGGACCGCAGCGACGCCTACGTCATGACCGCCGTCTCCGACAACACAGTGCGGGTGAGCGAGACGCGCAGTGTGTGCGAGGTGTGCGGTGCACACAGCTGTGAGCGTCACTAATGTGTGCGTGTGGTGCAGGTGTGGTGCTCGCGCACGTGCCGGCAGGTGCGCGTGCTGAGCGGACACCGGGACGAGGCGTACGTGCTGGAGGCGCACCCCTTCCTGCCGCACGTGCTGCTCTCCGCCGGACACGACGGCCAGCTGTTCGTGTGGGACGCGGAGGCGGGGGAGGTCGGCTCTCCCACTCACATACACGCTAAGCGAGAAAGAAGTAGTTATATATCTGTTGCCGTCTGTAAGAAAGGATGCTTTTGCATGTGTGTAGGTGCTGGCCAAGTTTCACAACCGCATCGATGGTCAGGGGGACGGCGCCATCTTCGACGCGAAGTGGGGTACGGGCTGCAGCGTGGCGGCGTCCGACTCGCACGGCCACCTGCTGCTGCTGGGCCTCGGCCTCGGACACCGCCTGCTGCGGCAGCTGCCCCCGGAGCTGTTCTTCCACACTGACTACCGCCCGCTCGGTACGTACTCACTCGCGCTCGCGGCTGCGTCCATTCATGACTCGACTGTCATAGTAACATTGGAGTTTGTTTGCAGTGCGAGACGCGCTGGGCGGAGCGCTGGACGAGCAGACGGAAACGCCCCCGCACCTGATGCCGCCGCCCTTCCTGGTGGACGTGGAGGGCGCCCCGCACGCGCCCGCGCTGCAAAGGCTGGTGCCGGGGCGCGAGCGGCTGGCGCTGCGGCCCGTGCTGCCGCGCACCGCCCCCGCCGCCGCGCCCAGCGCCCCGCCCGCCCCGCTCGGCCCCTGGCGCGGCGAGGGAGTGCGCCACACCGCCGGCTCCTGGCAGCGCGACGAGGACCACCTGCCGCCCTGCACGCGCCCCCTCGTGCCCCCTCTGCCCGACTCCGTCAAACAGAGGATCGAGCAGGCGAGGTGAGGGCTCCTTATAACACATGAGACAATGTCGACCGACAGGCGCGCAGAACAGCTTTAATTTAAGCATGTACTGATGTTTGTTAGTTGCGAGATGAACGAGTGGGAGAGCGCGTGGTACTGGCGCGAGATGCGGCGCCGCCCGGTCATGATCAGCACCGCGCCCGACGGACCCGCGCGCCGCCCCGGCCGCCGCCCCCGCTCCGCGCGCGCCCCGCCCCAACCCCCGCCCGCCATACGACCCACGCCCGCTGTACGTACACGCACACACACGCGCACGCACGCACGCACACTATCACGTGTTGTATGAATCTATATGTCTGTGTGTGTGTGTCAGATGATGCGCGTGGAGGAGTCCCCGTCGTCGGAGAGTTCTAGCGAGACGTCGGACTCGAGCGTGCGGCTGGAGGGCACCTCGGGCAGCGAGCACTCCTCGCGCTCCGCCGCCTCGCGCACGCGCCGCCCTCCTGATGCACGCGCAAGAGCACGAGCACGCGCACACGCGCTCTGCACCGACAGGTACCTGCCCACTCTCCTCACCCACCACACACTGCACACCACTAATTTAATTATATTATTTATTGTCACTAGCATACGTCCGGAAGTGATCGTTACCACAAAGTGAGTTCATTCAAACTCTATTAATATCGTATCTCTGTCATCTATTCATTATTCAAATATCACGTATATTAATATGAGATGTCTCTCAGTAGCTTACGCGCGCCAGGGAATACCGACGAGTGAGTTCCATTTGAGACGTATTCATATATAAACAAGGCAAATTAAACTCTATCACAAGGGTATAGAGTTGTAACTGTATGTTTTTTATCAGTTCATCGTCATCGCAGTACTCGGACTGGGAGGCGGGGCCGGCGCTGGCTCCGCCCGCACGCGCACGTCGCAGGCCACAGCCCACCGCCAGGTTCGTATTCTTTCGGACAAAAAGTTAAGCAATTGTTAGAGTTGTATTAAGTTAACAATATGTTACAGGTACAGTCCCAGTACTACGACAACAAAACGCGTCGCTACCACCGCTCAGAGCGGACTCGCAAGTGCGGCCGATGGCGGCGGTGCGAGCGGTGTCGCCGAGCCGGCTGAGCAGGCGGGCGGTGCGGGGGGTGCGGCGAGTGGTGGGGGTGCGGGGGGCGAGCTGCCGGAGGCGTACCGCGTGGGGGAGTGGCTGACGGCGGTGTCTCCGCGCAAGGCGCCCTACCAGCCCCAGATGGGCGACCACCTCATGTACTTCAGACTGGTCGGTCACTATCCTGACTTGTATGAGATATCACTAAATAGATAAATATTTGCCTACTCTATTTCTTACAAGGTGTCGCACGCGACTTCGTTAGCGCGGTATTAAGCTTAGTAGGTTATTAATTATTTCAAATGATATTCTACATCTGTGTCAAATTTCATGAAATCTTTTAAAAAGCATCCATCCATACAAAATAAGATAAATCCTGCTCGAAGGACTAATTTCAATATAAACTTAGTTACTTACAAGATGCTAGATATAATGGTTAGCACATGAAGTAGTTTGTCTATCTGTCTGATGTGTATGTTGGTGGTGCAGGGTCACCAGCGGTACTTCGAGGCGGTGGCGGAGAAGGACGTGTACAAGATCAACTCTCGCGACAAGCCCTGGGACAGGATGCATATATACGTGAGTCTCTCATATATTTAACTTTTCTAAATGTAACAGGATGCAGTCGGGAAATGATAAATAAAGTAATATGTGTATTGTGTTGTTACAGGAGTGCGAGTCGGTGAAGGTGGTCGGCATGAAGTACGTGATAAAGCCCCCGCGTGTGGTCAGCCTGCGCCTGGCGAGCTCGCTGCCGACCAGCGGGACGGGGGCGGGGGGCGCGGGGGCAGCAAGGGGGGGACGCACCTTCACCGTGCGCTACCACGACATGCCCGACGTGATAGACTTCCTCGTGCTGAAGCAGCAGTACGACGCCGCGGTGGAGCGCAGGTGGGGCCCGGGGGACAGATTCCGCTGCATGATAGACGACTCCTGGTGGACCGGCATCGTGCTGGAGCGCACGGGGGCCGCGGACTCGGAGGAGGAGGAGGAGGCGGGTGTGGGCGCGGGCGCGGGCGAGGCGGGGGCGCGGCGGTGGGCGCGCGAGGCGGCCGCGCACTTCCTGTCGCTGCGCGTGCGCTGGGACAACGGCGAGGTGGAGCGCCTCTCGCCCTGGGACCTCGAGCCTGTGGACCCGCAAAGGTACAGCTACTGTTTGTATGCAATGTGTGTAGAGAGGTGTGTGATGTGACGTGGTGTGAGGTGCAGACTGCCGGCGGAGGCTGGGGGCGCGGTGCCGGTGCTGAGCTCGGAGCTGGCGGGGGCGCTGCGGCGCGCGGAGACACACGAGTGGGCGGCGGGTGCGTGCCGGCACATCGCGCGACATCTCGCGCTCGCCATGTCGCTGTCCGCCGCCGAGCCCTTCGCCGCGCCGGTAGACCTGCAGCGCTACCCCACATACGCCCGCCTCGTGCCCTACCCGGTGGACCTCTCCACTATCAGAGCGCGCTTCGAAAACCTGGTCAGTGGACAACATCAACTCATTACAACTACCACTCTCACGAGTGTTGTTTTACCTTCCGAAACATTTTTTCAGTGTATTTGCCACTTTGATATAAAAAACCATCCTGCTTGAAGGAGCACGTTGTAAGAAGCATTGTTTATGTGTATGTATGTATGTATGTATGTATGTATGTGCAGTACTACAGACGCGCGGCGGCGGCGCAGTTCGACGTGCGCTGCATCGCCAGCAATGCGGAGCGCTTCAACGAGCCGCACTCGCCCATTGTGAGACAAGCGCGTCTCGTCACTGACCTGCTGCTGCACATCATCAGGTACACGACAAATCTTATTAGGAACACCTATCAAGATGTTCTCCTTCACAGTAAGAAGATAGGATAAACACATAGGAACATGGCGGAACTTCCAATCCAGTATTACAAATCAAGTTCTTGACTTTTGAACCATGAAATAGGTTTATTATATTGTGTGTTACAGCAACTGGCGCAATGTGGACGTGGTGGGCAAGTACCACGAGCTGGCCGCCGCATACCAGTCCTCTGATGACGAGCCCCTCGCCGCCGCACTCACCAAGGTCACACACACACACACACACACACACACACACACACATACATACAAGTGACAATTACACACAAGAAGATGGATGTATGTTGATGGTGTTGTGTTGCAGAAGAGAGCGAGCAGCGGCGGGTCGCGCTGGGTGTCCGCATGCACGGAGCTGCTCAACGAGCTGAGCGCCTCCGCTGATGCAGAGCCCTTCCGCCAGCCGGTCAGCCCGCACCAGGCACCTGGTAACCCCCACCTCATTACTCTCTTCTACATTTTTACTTTCCTACTACCTGTGTTAACTTAAAGCTTATGTATGTATGTATGTATGTGCAGACTACCAGCGCGTGGTGCGCACTCCGATGGACCTGGGCACTGTGCGGGCGCGGCTGAGCGGCGGCGTGTACACGCGCGCTGAACACTTCGCGCGAGACCTGCGCCTCGTCTTCTCCAACAGCCGCCTCTACAACACCAACAAGCGCAGCAGAGTGCGTATCTTATCTCCAATCTGTCTATCTTAACGCTTTTATCACATTGACGAGGTGTTTACCAGCTTAAAGGGTTACCGGTAACCAAAAATGTTCTTACTTCTAAAACTCGTCCATTTTGTAACTTATGACCTGAGCTCTTGTAGCAATTTCTTACTTTTTTAATTAATAAATTTAACATTTAGCCGTTTTGTTGTGATATTTGCCGAAAGCAATGAGATATCTGTTGATGACAGTAAGATATTTATATGTATGACGTAGATCTACTCTATGACCGTGCGGCTGTCGTCACTGTTCGAGGCGTTGTGGGCGCGCGTCAGCATGGAGTGCTGCCGCACGCGCAGCTCCACGCGCAGCACGACGCGCGCCCAGCACGCCGGCACGCGCTCGCGCAGTGCACGACGCACGCGACGCGCAGCACGACACACGCGACGCGCTGCACGACTCGCGCGCAACGGTACACACACACACACACACACACGTGCTGTCTTACAACGAAACATACATACAAATTTGTAAAATAAATGATGATATAAAATTGTTGTTTGTATGTCAGAGAGTGTGCGAGACAAGTCCTCGGAGGAGGAGGAGGTGCGGGGTGCGGGGCGCAGCGCCAGCTCGGAGTCGGAGCCCCTCGCGGCCACGTCGCGCCGCGTGCACGCGCACACGCATCCCTCTGACAACGACACCCCGCCACTCGCCAACCACAAGGGTAAATATATATCTACATTCTAATTTATTATCTTGTCCTCTGTAGAATTATATACTTTACTAGATTTGTTCTACTTCAAGGCAAAGGCGTGGGCAAGAAGAGCAAGACGCACAGCGCGGAGCCCGCCCCCTCCACAAGCCACGCCCCCATGCTTTTCTCGACAGGTACGTCATCTTATATGGGACTAAATTTACTCGATTCACGCATATCTTTATATTTAAACAATGATAAATGTTTTTCCAGAAGAATCGGTGGCGAACGGTACGATGTCTGACTCGGATGGCGCGTCTGATGTGGAGGCGGGCGCGGGGGCGGAGTCCGGGGGCGTGTCCGAGGGTGAGGCGGGGTCGGGGCGCGGCTCGGAGCGGTCACACATCGAGGTGTTGGAGGAGGAGCTGGCGGACGACGAGGTTGAACTCACGTACGAACCGCCGCAGCTGCACGTGAGTATTGTGGCATGAGTGTCATGTGTGTGTGTGTCATGAGACATTTGATAGATGTGATATGTTGTACAGAGGACGCAACGCAAACGTGTACGCAGACGCAGCTCGGACAGCAGCGCGGGTCGCCGCACACGTCGCCCTCACAAACGGTAACCACACAATATGCAAACTTATGCACATATCTATTGAGTTCAAACTATAATAAACACAAAAGATACTGTTCCATTATCTTATATATAACATTCTCGTGTCACAATTTGTCGTTCCCATACTCCTCCGAAACGTCTTGACCGATTCTCATGAAATTTTGTGAGCATATTGAGTATTCACCCTTCTACGATCAACCCTTATTTAAACCCTTTTTAATAGCCATTTTAGTAATTTAATCATTTTTCATCTCCGGTCGATAACTGATCAATCGTCATTTAATTATTTTTTATATATCTACGCGGCCGGAGTCGCGGGTGACAGCTAGTTATACTATAAATATGATAATATGTCGATGACTAAGGTATATTTATATGTGTTTGTCAGTGTTCGCGAGCGGTTCACGTCCGCGTCGTGTTCGTCGTCGGATTCGTGCTCGGGGTCGGGCTCCGCGTCAGGGTCGGGCTCCGCGTCGGGCAGCTCGGGGTCGCGGCGCTCCGGGCGACGCTACGAGTCAGATCGCTCATACCGGCCGCGGTACTCTACTGATGATGACGCGCCGCTGCTGCTGTACAGGTCACCATACACACATCCAACTATACGTTGAGACCCCCGGGGGGTCAATGTTGTTTAAGTGTACGCAGGGGGTTGTATAATAATTTTGCCAACTTTGGGGGTCGTAACAAAAAGAAAGTTGCATTTTATTCTGATATAATATCTGAACATGGACTCCATGTTCACATACTATTTTGTATTGTAAAAAATGTTTGTCCTATACAGAAAAATGTTGACCATTAACACATTAGATGTAAAACTGTGTGTATTTATTGATGTATGTTTGTGTGCATGTAGACAAAGACAGGAGGAAAGCGAGGAGGTGGCGGGACCATCGCGACGTGGACACGCCAGGGTGAGTGTCACATCTACACATTGTTATTGAACTACATTGTGTATATCTAATATTGTTTGTATAACAATCTCTTTGTATGCAAACTTCTTCACATCTAACAATCTCGTGTATTGCAGAGCGTGTCGCTGCGCACGCGCCGCAGTCCTCGTCGCTACAACGAGGACAGCGAGGAGGACTCCATAGCTGCGATCAGCAAGCGTCTGCCGCACCACCATCACCACCAGCGGCATCAGCATCAGCTCGCGCGCCGCAGACAGCGACATGCGACACAGGTGACATGACGTCACATGACACATGACCACTGTGACTGCGCCAGTAGACTGATTGTTATTGTGTTGTGCAGGGTGCGAGCTCCACAGCGGCGCACACGAGCGACCACAACTACTTCAACGGACATGCGCACGCGCATTCACACGACGCGCACAACGGACACGGTCAGTATTTACATCTTACTTTATATATAGTACTAGTAAAAATAAAATTTATTAAAACAATGATAAAAAAAATCAAATTTCATAAAAATAAAGTGGCTTTTTGCGCGTATGTAGTTTAAATTGCGATTTGTAGTTCCTTAGCTCATTTAAATTCTTTGTGTTTTATTTATAATTTTCTTTTCAATATTACAGGTGACGCGGGCGTGTCCGGGGGTTCCGGGTCGGGAGGTTCAGCGGGTTCCGGGGGTCCGGTGTCGATATCGTCGCGGGGACGCGTGCGCAAGCTGACTGCCAAGGCACGCGGTCTACTGGGCAACTGAAGTATGGCCAACCTCTTCAGCTGGAGCCCCCTGCGATAACAGCGGCAGTAGCAGGGGGCTCCGCTGGAGCTGGGTGCCTGACCAATGTGTGAAGACATGTCACAGTGACAGTGTAATACTAGGAAAAGAATCAATATAAACTGGACGCCTTTTATAGTATTGTAAAGTGTTGTTGCCAAAGTGTGTCCAGTGAATGAAGACATGTGATAGTGACACTATACTAGAGACAAAGAGGTCAATAGGAGCTGGATGTTGTGGAAATGTAGTGATGTAGATCTTGAGTTGGATAAGTGACCAGTGAATGAAGATACCCGAATGATGTAACATAGTTGATGTACAATTATGAACTTAATAGTGTTGTGAAAATATTGCAATTGTTAGTAACTCAATTATCATAATTTTAAGGTGTTTTTGACAGCAAATAATGCAAAAATTGTTGGCGGCAAATGTTTTTTATATTACAAAATAATCTTCAAATATCTAAAAGACAGTCAAAACTGAGTTTGAATAGAACATGATTTAAATTTGTTTTTCAGACATATATGCTGTAAGACGCAAAACCTCTTGTACTTAACAAATGATATTCATAAAGTCATACAACAACAAATATGTTAATTTGAAATGGTACGTTTTTCTTATATCTATAACTGGATAAGCGAGAGTTCAAGGAACCCTAAAATTTATCTAGTATTTAGGCGTCTGTCTAAATCGAATTTCTCGCTTACGTAAGTTGTCTGTTCTAAATCTAACTACACTGACATATCCAGATTCAACTGTATTATTTTAAAGGTGATTTTAGAGTTACACAATATTACAACTTCTATAAAATATTTTAGAATAACTCGTAGCTATCATTGAATGATTTCTAGAAGTAGAAAGATTTTGTCTATCAGGTGTGATGATCAGCTTAACTTTAATACCAGCTTATGTTTTAATATGAAATGCAATAAGACTGACAACTGACTTAAAAGTTCAAATATCATGTACATGTCTATATTTTGTTTTGTTTCGAAACTATAGAAGTTGACTATGATGACATAGTCAATGTTGTTTCAAAGGCAATTAAAGAAATAACATAATGTAAAATATTAGAACATAACTGAAAAGTTACAAATCTATGGCTCCTATGTAAACTATCTTATGTTTGAAATATACATTTTTTAAGTAATTTAAAGCAACAGTAACTTGCCTCCCAGAGGCCTAGTTTAGTCCTCCTTCCCTTCCCACCCTTTTTCTTATAAGGAAAGGATAGGAAGTGAAAGGGGACTTTCCAGGTGAGAGGATGCATGGGAAGGTAAAATATTTTCTTTCTGTGCATCCTCTCCTCCGTCGATTAAAGGTAGGCAACGCATATGTAACAGCGTATGTCTATGGGCAACAGTCACTTCGCTATTTCAGCGATTTCATGTGGCCGCTCGCTCGTTTGCCACCTTATGATATAAAAAAAACAAAAATGAGTACTTATGAAGTTAATTTAAAAAACATAAAATGAATAAAATTTGGGGCTTATGTTAGTGTATGTAGGAGTCATCAAAATATTATTTATACTGACGTAAAACAAAATGTTGATGTAAAAAATGATCTCTACTATCAATGTTTGTTATGTAATACATAATGTGCTATATATAATTACTAGACAAGTTTTTATTTAATATTTGTCCATCTAAATACATAGATTGTAGAAACTTGCTCATTTTATTTTATCTGTATATAAGTTTTAGTTTATGATTTAATTTGTAAGGAAATCTTCTATATTTTGCGTTTACTAAAATATTTCAGTGTGACAACTAAACGAGAATTGATTTAGCAAATGTAATTTTGTACTGTAAATGACAATACTTAGTAAAATCATCTCAACAAACACTCACACATCCGGAATGGTTACTCTATCAGAAGTATTTTGAACTCCATGTTACATATGTCTATGGTTTGAAAAGACAATTCAATGCAAATGAATTATTTATTTATGTAACAAAATAATATGTAATTCTCCACTGTAGAGTTAAACAAAATTAAATCAGTATTTCATATTGCGATGCACTTGTACTATAATTTTTCTTCTCAAAGATACTTCCGAGGTGAATGTTTTACATATAAGTGTATGCACAATGTATAGACAAATGTATGCAGGATATTTTTTATTTAATTGATGTAACAAATTATGTAAATATTCTCATTTATATTTATTTTGGTGAACTGAAATTATTTAAGGACCTTTTATATATAACTAATTGTCCATTCTCTATAAAGTGATTGTATATGTGATGTTTAGAGTACCTGCATGTATAATATAGTCTAGTTTCATGTATGAACCAAGTTTCTTTAGTGATAATCACCTAAACTTGTGATAAATTATGTTTATACAAGCAATAGTTTACCGTTAATTGTAAAAATTGTTCTATACCCATTAGCCAATAGCAGACGTCCTTGTGCCCTCCGCCAATCAGAGGCCGTGACGTCACACGCTATTCTCTTCCGATTGGTCGCATGCGTGAACATGAACAGTGAAGACTGCATTGTACATCTTCTATTCTGATTTAGTACTTATGCGGGGATTATGTATTTTGTGATGTAAATTAAGTAATACTTGTCTGTCAAGTTGAATTCATTTTATTGTGGATCTTATGGCACTGGATTAGGCAATAATTTTGAATGAGTTGTATATTTCGTGTGTAAATATAGATGTACACCGTGTCGGTATGTTCAAACCAAAATAAATCGAATATTTTGTAATGTCCACTTTGCCTTTTATTTAACCAAAGACCTCACTGATCTTCCGATTTGAACTTTATATATAACATAACATATTCGTTTGCGGTTTAGGCAAGAAGTTAATTTTGTTGAATAGAAAAATAAAAGCGGTGTATAATCCTTAACCTTAAATCCGACGAAATTTTTTGTAGCAAAAAAATTGTTTTCTTTTAATAAAGTTATATTTACGTAATTTGCTCTAAACTAGTTCAGTAGATTTTTTTTATTAGTTGTTCGTCACACTGGACACCATCGACTTTAATTTTTTTTAATTTTAAAAAGTAAATTGCAAAAATGATTAGAATTAAATGATAAAGAACGGTCAAGATTTTATTTTAAAAACTTGGCCGGAATTATTATACTCGGTTGCCGAAATTTAAAAAATAAACTGTCAATGTCATTTTTTTTAATTAATGTCATAAGTCCACAAACGTCTAATATCAATTTGTTTTTGCTGTTTAAACACGTCATTGTTTGTATTGTGAAATATTTGTAATTATAGGTATTTAGCATTTTATTTATTAGTAAACCGTACGTGAAAGTTCTAGAATAAAATGTAAATGAGGTGTTAACATTTTAATAAATATTACAGAGTCGAGGTCGAGTTCAGATTTTGCATTTCGTGAATCACTAAAAATGGATAGTGTGGTTTCAGAAGAACCAATGACGATGTTTAACCCAATTACATTTGGTAGGTTTTACAGATACTATTATATATTTTTACGAATAGTTTAGTTTTTAGAGTACATTAAAGAGACAAGCGATACTTTTAAAATTCAGATTTTTTGATAATTGCTACAGTAATATCTTATATCTCGTATTCATACACCTTGGTTTAGGTGTATTTTTCAATACTTTCTGTATTTAAACTGTAGTAATGTTATAAAACTTGGCCTGAATTGACTTATCTATGCACAGGATATCCAGTGCCGTACAGAACAGATAAAAATGTGTAGCAATATAAATGATCATTGTTGGTTTTAGTGAGATGTTTAACACATATGTACAATATATTGCAGTTCTGCGGTTTCTAGCATCATATGGATGGTACTTAGTGGGAGCTTCAGCGGCCATGCTGTATGCAGCTCACAAGCTCAGTCCTCGCATCGAACGATGGCGACAGGCGAGGGAAGATGCTGCATATCATAAAGGTGAACATATTTAATACTAGCTGCACTAAATATCATGATTAGGATTGCCATCTTTCAATAAACATAGACCCTAACAGCGGTGGCAGAAAACAACTGCCATTGTTGATTTTTAGATGCAATGTAATAAAACAACATCTCATAACTAGTTGTGGTCAAGTTTTAGCTTAGTTAATATAAAAAAAAATAGTTTTATGCCGCCTTTGTACAAAAAACCAATATCATATTTGCAGTTGAAAAATACACACAATTCTCGTTGTGTTTTGATTTATTTAAAATCTATTGTAGAACTTATACAGTTATTTGATGCGGTATTGAACCAAAAATAAATCAATGAACTATTTATGTTATAATTCTTTACTTGCAGACCCGGATGTAGCGCTGGCACGGATGGCTGCCATACAAGAGGCGCGGGAGAGACAGCAGAGGCTGCTGGAGGAGGCCTCCGCTAGAGCACTCAGAGAACAGAAGGAGGTAAGCAAGACAGTTATGTTGACAACAAGATTTTATACATGTGTTTTGTCAATGAGAAATAACAATAATAGTTTTGAAAGTATAACATTTAATGTTGTGTTGCAGCGTGAGGAGCGCAAGAGAGCGGAGATGGCAGAAAGGCTGAAGAAGTTAGAGGAAAATGGTGGACACAGGCTGGGTGCTGGTGCTGGAGATGGTGAGATACACAACTTATGTGCTGCAGCCTCATTTTAGTCCAGTGTTCCTTCCCATTCTTTTTCTTATAAGGAAAGGATACATACATAAGGGAATTAATATCTTTCTGTGTGTCCCCTCCTCTGTAGATTAAAGATGTTGCATATGCAATTGCAGATGTCTATGGGTAGCGGTTGCTTTGTTATTTGAGCGATTTATTGTGATTGACAATTGTCATTTATTCTGATGCGAAATCAACTGTACAATAGAATGTCAAATTCCACAGATGGCTGGTCATGAATATTTTACTTTGATAGTTATGTTGTGAAAATGATATAATTGTTAGTTATTTGCGTATACTTATATCTAATATATTTGGGTTACCATGCATATAATGTATGCAGATGTATCCTATATCTTTATATATATAATTGTTCTGTGTGTGTGTATGTCACTGAACTTCTCTCAAATGACTGGAGCGATTTTGATGAAATTTTTTGTGTGTGTCCAAGGGGATCTTGGAATGGTTTTGATTCACAATTTTCATCAAATATTAACTTCATATTAATTTATTCAAATTAAAGACGTGTAGAAAGGACAACGTCTGTCGGCTCCGTTAGTATACATATATGTATGTATAGAAGTTTAATAATATTTGCAGACTACCTGCCGCTGAGTGGCGGCGCCTCCACCTCCTCGTACCGCCCGCCAAAGCGCTCCGCATGCTCACGCGGCGGCTGCGGGGGGTGAACACCACACCTCACCCTCACCACACACACACCCACACCCCTCTCCCCTCATACACATAAACCCAGTGAATACACTCGAACCTGGACAAGCGAGGATCTAAGGGACCTCGATATTTTTCATGCTTAGGTTCTTCTTTATCCCGAGTTTATCTTATATAGAGGTTATATTACGGGATCAAGACAATAACTCTCACTTATAGAGGTTTCTCCCTCATCCAGGTTCCACTGTATATCATATATATTGTATTAATAACACAAACTTTGATAGTCACAAAAGTAAACCTTCCTACATACAACAAACTAATAAATCTTTTATTTAAAGAAGTTATATCTAACACTGATTATGTCAAATATATTCAACTTGTCAAATGTTTTTGATTAATTATTAAAAAAAATGGAAATTAGATAAAAATCAGGAATATCTCCTGATGTAAAAATAACTAAAATATTTAAGAAATATTAAATGTTACTTACATTGCTCATAAATTTAACTATTTTATTGTTAATTTGGTAACAAATAAAACGTCTAATAAATAGTGTTGTGTTTTATTTCATCAGAGTTTTATAATAAATAGATTTAATAAAATTGAAGCGTCTCTATGTATGCAATTTGACAGATGTTTGAATGTCATCCTGTCTCAAAGTGACGCGCCATGACGCGCTAAGTCATTTCCAAGCAATCATCTATACATTTATATATATCTCAAAGAAGAAAAATAAAACTCTTACAGTATTATATGTATACCGGAGTAACTGATATTTGTTAAATGATAAAATGTCGTGAGTTTAGGTTTTTGTAAATTTTGTGGACTGAATATTATATACGTATATGAATATCGGTGGCCACGATACAGGCATTGCTTAGTGTGTGCATCACTAGATTATACAAAATTAACAATAAATGATAATTTAACTTTAATTTAATTTCTCAGTTATTTTTATGTTATTGTTTCTTGGTTTAATCTTAATAACCTATAATAAAAACTTTTCTTTCTTTCATTTATGTAAAATAAAAGCATAACAAAGGTTAATAAAGCACAGTGAAGTGCGAGAGAACACGAAGTCCACAGTTGTGTTGCAACAAAATAAAAACATCGATCTCAAAATCTAATTTAACACTTTCTAATATTCTTTTTTAATGCTTTCGTTAATTCTCTGACAAAGAATGTCTGCGGTATTGTCAACTTTAGTTGAAATCGATTCGAATTACGTAATATTTCGTTTGTTGTTAACGCTCTCTATTGTATAAAGATGGTGACACACTAAAACTATAATTAAGACGATATTTAAAATCATAGCTTTTACGAGAATTTTACGCATCAATCTGTATGCTTCAGATGATGAAAACGGTTCAAAGGAAAACAACGAATTAAAATAACGAAAAACATATTTCGAGGACTTGTCATGCGATAAATTTAATTAAGAATAAAAAAATAGTCTGACTTACCCTTTTAACAATCAAACATACTCGCGAAACACAAGTCCGTAGGCCGACAAGGGTGACGAGGCGAAAATGTTGCAAAATGGAATGTCAGTAGGGGACTGTTGGGATGTTTTGAACGAATTTATGTCGAGGATAATATTAACTAGTTGAAAAAGGGTTTATAAACATTGCAGAACAGATATTTCATGATCATAGACAATTACAATCATCTATTAATATTCAGAATATGTAAATTATGTTTCGTCGAAGCTAAAACTTATTATCGAAGGCAATTAGCGAAGCGGACTGATAATTGATTTACTATTCAGCAAAATGTTACGCACGGAAATAGGTTTTTGAATGTAATACGAGAATTTTATAACATATAGCGATTTTTTATTTAATAACGCTTTGTTATATCCTAGAGTACTAGTACTTTTAACTCTTTGTTAAGTCCTCGGTATTGTTATATTGCAAAAATCGTTGCGCAATATTGAGGTTGTGCCGATCGATATTATTTGATTTACTTCATTAAAATTATTATTGAGTTCTTGTCAATGTTTTTTTAAATGTAATCAACACATTTTACTGCTTTAGTATTACAAAAATTGGGTAAAGCATTTTCTAAATGGTTATTTAATAAAGTCTGTCGTATTCGCCCACTTGCAAGTTTAATCTTGACGTTAGCTTCTTTCAATTTTTGATGCACAATGAACTAAAATTCCAAACTATCTCTTGTATGAAATGAATAGACATTAAATCGTCATATTGGATCCAATTCACAAATATCGGTCTGTTCAATACTTTAACACTTTAATTATATTATCGAAAAATCATTTTAACAAAAGTAATTTACCCAATACATATAAAATATATTAATTAAGAATTATCAAAGTTGCGATTATACATTAAATGTGTTTAATTGTTAAAAACAACATTCAATTGATTTTGGTTTAGAACATAAACATTTTTTGAAATAAAAGTGACAGTCAGTCAGTTGACCGAAAATGACTCGCGGAGACGTTATTGTTTATTTTTGACAATTAAATCATGGCGGCCATTGTGTTTTATAAAATTCGTAAATAAAGGAAATAAAAAAATCGTTTTTGTGTTTTATTAAACGTAAATGCATGTAAATTGTGTGTTAATATGCTTGATTGTTTCTAGTGATTATGTGTGAATAGTTTTATCGATGTTTCATGTAACTTTTAATTTGTTTTAGTAGTATTTGTTGTGAGAGTGAAGTAGTGTGGAAATTTAAACCGAAAAAGTTGATTTTTAAAGTGTTAATCTTAATTGTTTATGTTTACATTAATTGCAAATGTAATTGTTATAAAAGTACCAAAGAAGTGAATAGTAGAAATTGTGATTTGTGATATTATGTCATTATTACGATGAAATCCAGCCAGTTTAAAAGATAAGCCATTTGATTAAAAGATAAGTAAAGTAATAGAGATCATAATTAATGTGGTTATTTCTGTTAACACGTAAATCTTAACAAATATCAGTGTAAGTGTATGTTGCAGGTGAGTGCAGGCCGGTCAGCAGAACGGGTCTGACATTCAGGCGCGGCGCGACGCAGCGGGCAATAACTTTGACCGCTTGATTGCTTCCAATGAACTCGAAGAGCCGTCATTCAAAGTTAATTGATTTGTATGTCTTAGCAAATGTAAGCAAATAAGTGCCGTGATTTTGAGAAATTATTGTCGATCGTTAATCGCTATATGACCATTTGTAATGTTGGACCAAAATGCAGAGTGGGGTGAGGCACGCAGCACGCACGAGCAGCGGCTGCGGCCGGCGGGCGAGCGAAGCCCTACAAGCTACGACATAAGAGGGGTTCAACTATACAATACGCGACGCCACTACTGCAGTCTTGACATCTTGCGTCCCTTTTCGAAGCACCGTACTCGAGGGGGACGGCAGCCGTTCTGTCAGGCGGTGACGTCAGGCGCGAGGGGGGCACCGCGGCGCCCCGCGACTCGCCGGCAGTGTTCGGCCAGCCGCCACACCGAGTGGACGGGCACACGATGCGTGCACGGTGAAAAAACAATCGCGATGCTGTTCGAGAGTCCCAACGCGAAACTGTTTCCGGCGTTCAACATCCCGCCGCCCGTAAGGCTCAGGTGAGCTCCACCGCCCCTTCGGCTTGCCCTTTGCTGCGTCCAGTGACCGTGTGCCATACGAAGGCGCAAAAACCGCCAATAAAGTGATTTTACATCGGTTCAGCGCTCGGGGCGCGACATTGCGCGTCTGTCAGTGACGCCCGAGCGGCCGCACGAAACGTCAATACGAGATGACTGCTCTGATTTTTTTTGTCTTTACCACGCCGGTCGCAGGAAACCCTTGCGTCGACAGCGACCGTCGTTAGAACGAAACATTCGTCTGAACAAAAACGACGACAACGATTGAAATGTTTCGAATCAGTGTCTAGTATCGATTGAGAGTCGAGAAAACTGACGGTCGTTCCTGTCGTGCCCCGGTACCGGTTTTATAATCGGCTTAGAGACGTATCCTTAGCTGGAAGTGAGCACGGCAGTGCCGGCAATCGATGTATGAGCCGGTGAGCGAGCCGCGTCGCCCGCACGGCCATGCCGGCCTGTAAACAAAGCTTGAACTGCGTAGAACTCAACTGGTACTGTGAGTGCATGTGGTATGCAGCGGGCGGCGGCACAGCACGCTGCACCCGCCGCCGCACGCAGCCGTGCGCAGTAGGAAGCTGTTTTGTACTTCCGCGCTATAATTGTGTCGGAATGATTTTTACTACGTCTATTTGTTGGTTGCATTAACGACCCAAACAACATCAAACCCGCTGAGATCGCGGCGAGCACAGACTCGTCAGTTTTTAACTGCCGCGAACACGCTTTGCTCTAAATCTACTACATCTATTATAAACATCAATGAAACTTTGTTTATCTGGTTGCTAATTTGACACCAATTGTTACTAAATGCTAGTGAGTGAGCCACTTGAAATTAACCGTTATTTTAAAACATCTCTGGGGAGCTGTCGTTACATTAAAATCTAAATCTAAAAAATCTGATTATTGTCGAATCAAAAGGCATTTCATTTTCATTATTATTTTAATTGGTTGTGTTTTACATGACGCATACATTACTTTCTCGATGTTATTTACTGCATGCATCTCCGCGCGCGGCTCACTCAACTGCATTACATCCAAGCAAATGTATATACCGCAAGTAACTCACAAAGCGGCAGATTAGCTCAGCTCATTAGCAAAACATCAATTTCGGAGGATATATTAAGAAGACCAAAATTTAACCTAAAAATAAAGTTTACTAAACATCCATTAGGTTATTTACAAGAAAAACAGCAAAAAATATGATGAAAAATTAAATCGTTTCATAACAGAATTGGTTGCAATAAATTTTGTAATAAACATTCCGATAGTCGAGCACATTATTGATGTCGAGGAAATGGGAAGCGGATACTCAATGTTGCCAATATAAATACACAAATTGAAAAAAAAAACCTTTGTTCTTGATATATGTTAATTCTGTTGGCATTTAAACAATAGTTTATGTTCGTTTGAACAAAAGAAATTGCACAATGCCTCCTTCAGGTACATGTTTAAAATTCTGTAAACATTTTACGGTTAATCTTAGATTTTTCTCATTTTTTAAACATTTAAACATATAACAAACGACCCTTTAACACCACAGAGGGATTTCCCAATTAAAAGAAAGTCCTTGACACTAAATCCAAAAGTAAATGTACTTCGTATACGACAAATCGTAGGTGCAATGACCTATCTGCCAGTTATAACTTAACAATATGCATCGGTTCTTTACTTAACATTGACTCGAGAGAATGATGTAAAGTAACAACTGACGATAAATATGTAATTACCCACATTTTTGCGATATAATAGAACCTTTGGAATGTCACTATTATTCTATTGTATTTATTTCTGCTACTCATCAGCAACGTAATGGTTGGATATTAATTTAAAAATGGCGCATTTTTTTGTAGAATTACTAAAATGGGACTACTTTAAATACGATGTTACAATGATTTTATGTTACCTTTTACTTGGTGTAACAAATTAAAAAAAAACTT